TGTGTGTGTTCAGGCCCCCTGATGGATTACCTCCCCACCTGGCAGAAGATCTACTTCTACAACTGGGGCTAGAAGCTGCTGGATGCACTGGGACCTGTGATGTTTGCAGGCGGCAGCAGTGAGAAATGAAGCGTCGGGTCATTATCACTACAGAGACACTGAGCATAAGTCCATGAAATCCGATGAAATGATTAAAAACGGTTGCCGCTCTGACAGTAATTTCTATTTTGTAAATGAGTTATTGTCAGCAATCAGTAATGCAGTTTCTCTTTTTAAAAACAAAAAACATGTATGATTTTGCAACACTGTTTTGTTTCTTACTGCACCGTTCTGATTAGCACTGAAGAAAGTATCTGCCTCCTGTTAGAGGCACGTCGAATAACTTCATTCTTCGAGTTGTGTGAGATTTATGTTTGTGCACAGTGCTGGCAGGGTATTTGCGCTGACAGTTTCGAGTGATTTGTGATGGAATATCTTTGTCTTATTCAGCATTGTCATTCCGTTCTTCCAGTGCTTTATCTGTCAGCGTGCAGCTGTTTTTTTATGACTATATTCTTTTCGGTGACAGCAGATAAATACACAAAGTACTTCAAACTGAGCAGTGATGACTGACAAGCACATAAAATTCATTTAAACAAGATATCAACACCAGCACGCATTCTATTCTAATCGCTAGTTCAACCTTCTGATCCCCAAAACCTGCCAGTTGGTTTGAAAGGTAAATTGTTAGAATGAAACTATGTTTCTGTTGTTTTTCAACTCTTGACAGCATGTGAACCAATCGTGTTTGACTTCTGGTTTCATTGGAAAACTTCTATTTCATGAAAGTCACTTTATTCTTCATGTCTTATTGAAAATTTCTCCAATAATAATGTGAAGTGTTACTGTTTTTTCTGATGCAGATGAAACCTTTGGGCAATTAGACAAATGTTTGAAATGTTGATTCCTGTTTTTTTAATTTCTTAAAATCATTTTGTGGCATTACAACTGCCTCATGTTGCACAGAAGAGATTTTTTGAATTCTTTCTACTTAGCCATGGTTGTGTTGTTTCCGTAGCAGGACTTTATATTGCAGTGAGAAATTATCTCACAGTGAGTAAAAACATGACAGATGCAATAGGAAAACAACAGCCAGAAACTGTTTGGGGTTCAGAGGGTTGATGCTTGATGGAGTTCAAGCAGAAAAAGCACCTGTGAAAACCTGTGAGACAGAAAAAGACAACAGAGTGGAGGTTTTCTTTCCATCTTTATTAACATACTGAATAAGTTTCTTTTTGTAGCCTACAAATAAATAGTTTCCATCCTTTCAGTCCACGTGTTTGTTGGAGACTCTCTCGTGGGTGGGGCATACACAGGCATGGCCACGCAAGGAAAAATATGACACTCTGACGTATCAAAAGAAAATTACAACCCGCCTTGTTGAATGTCAAGTCTGCCAAGAACATACGATGACAGGATGGTGAGTTAGAGATATCACACCGCGTTAAACATGTCCGATTTTTATCACACCACGTTGTTGTATTTACTCGCATTCTACATGGCAGTGAAATTTAGAGGAAATACTGACAAGAGTTCTTGTCCCGAAGAAAAATAATGTCGGAAACTGAGAAGGTAAATGTAAACTCATTCCAAAATAATACAAAAAAAAGGTACATCGAGGCAGACTTCAGATTCAACCTGCAGAAACATCAAAGTGAAACTGATTTAAAGGTTGTACAGTGGAGATGCATAGTCAAAACGGTATCGTCGTTTCATGAGCGCGGAGTTAGCATGTTCCATCTGGCGTCTGACGTAACGACACTTGGTGCTTGTTTTTTGTGTCATTTTGGGTTTATTTCCTAATTTTGCCATTTGCCTGCACCGTGTCTGATGTTCGGTGGAGTTAAGACCAAAATTATTCCTGTAAAATTTTGATTTACTGTGAATTTATATTTCGCCAGCAGGTTTCTTTTGGCTGGAAATGTCAAACAAGTAACAAAAGACGCTGTGTTCGAGACGTGATGATGAATCTGAACTGTTCCCACGTCTGGTTTTGATTTGATCTACATTTGTACTAAAAAAGCCAATTGCTTCATAACCTGTAAAATTCAGAGTTTTTGAGGAAATGCATCTTCTAAATCATTCCCAATTGTCCTGCTAATTTCTACTATGTTCTAAAGCATTTTAGCGTAAAAAGCTGCATAAAAATTGTTGAAATTCATCATTAACATGTAGAACACGAATTCTCTCCATCTTTTGTTGCTTGTTTAGTCACAAAAACAAACCTATTTTTAAAATAAAAATTCTCCGTAAATCAAAACTTAGCATGGGGATTAATAATTTCAGGCTTACCATCCTTGTGCTCCCTGTTTGTAAATAACGAAAGCAGCTGAGACATCAAGTATTTGATGCTCCGATGTGTCACCTGAATAGAAATGCGTCACTCCAAACCCACAAACTGTCAGAAATCAGTCAGTGCTTTGTGGAAATTACAACTGAACAAACTGTGAGCAGCAGTGAGTCAAACATAGTGGATTCTTGTTCAAATCAATGCTAAAAATATATACTGCACCTTTTTTTGTTTTCTTTTAAGATCACAATAAAACAAAACATGAAATCTTCGATAATATGAATCAAAATTAACACTTTGATTTTTGAAGAAGGAATAAAATAGAGCAGAATTAACGCTGACATCTCTTTTTTTTTTTTCTTGAAAATCTAAGACCAAAAAAACTCTGGACAGTAAATTACAACCAAACTCTCGGTTTAGAAAAAGACTGTACCCTCTGATGGTTTATGAAAATAAAACTCAAGAGTCTGCTAATGAAGAATGAGAGGAGAAGATACTGTCTCACTCCTGGAAAATTGTCTCTAGTGGAGGACGGGCGAGCAGGACGATGTCTTTCCCCATGCAATCCTTTCTGCTTCCCGTCTCCTCCGTCCAAATGCACATCAGTCAGGAGGCTGGTTGGCTCTACAGGCGTTAGTAGGTTTGTCCTCCATTGGGTCGGCGCCGCTCAGTAGGAGCCGTAGCGATCCTGGGATAAACAAAGAGGAGTTTAAGCGAATGTTTATGATTTAAACTGGATGCAGAATTGAACTCTGATGCCTCACCTGGATCGTGTTCATGACGCCGTTGGCCAGGACGGCCATCTTTCCCGCTACGGTCTTCACTCCCTGTTTGAACTGAGCGATGTCGGGGCCGGAGGGGAGGACGCTGTCGAAGCCTGATGCCCTCCCTGTTGGGAGGAGACGAGTCAGTACAGCATTCAACAAACGTAAAGCAGTGAGGCTTCAGCTCCAATACATCTAACTCATGTACTGGAATTAGAGACAGCTGTGATGTGTTTGTACTTTATGTGAGATTTCCACATTCTGCTACTTTCTCCTTCAGCTCCACATTTCAGAGTCAAATACTTTCTACTCTACTACACTTACCCGACAGACACAATTTTTAAAATGAAGCTTTGACACGATGAATAATAAAACAGGTTTTTCAAATACGACATAGTGAAAGATTAAATCGTTGCTTTCCAACCTTTTCATTCAGCTCCTTTTAAACAGCAGTGTGTAGGCTGACTCGCATTTCAGACGTTAATAGCTGCACTAAATAGTGATTGGTGTGTCAGAATGATTTTTTTGTCTTCTTTCTCTACACATAAATCCTGTGACAAGCCCTCAGATTTATCTTCTGCCCCTGAATATAAAACTGGATGTAAACTTGCTCCAGCTGCAGCAGCTACAACAGTAACGTGCTGCTGATACACTGATGCTTCACTATTAACAAACTACTGATGGCTGATATAATCATACATTACTCAGAAGGATCAAACCAGTACTTTTACTGGAATGCTCCTAATACTAATGGACATTTACTTGATTTTTCCTGCAAGACTTTCACAGTATTGTTTTGTTGCTGTACTGGATCTGAATACTTCTTCGTTGTTTAGCTCATTGAGTAAGGGGCAGTTTAAAATCCCAGCGTTTGCAGCATTTAAACAGCTTTAAATGTGACTCTGTGCCCATCCTCACACACTGAATGTCTACTGATCCACTGCTCAAACTAGTCCTTAACAAATGTGCAATTTCTACCCGTTTGACTAAAGTTGACTAAAAAGTACAGCAGCCACGTGTATTCTGAAATTACTGAGCCTTTTCAGAAAATGGCCAAGTTATACATCTGACTGGTTTTTAAAGATTTACACCTTCAGGAGGAACCAGCTGCTCTGCTTTAACACCTGAAATAAAAATGTGACAAGTGTTCATTACCTTTATGATCGCTGCCGTCCCCAAACAGGTCGGCCGAGCTGATGGAGGTGCTGCCAGACATGCTCTCCAGTCTCGTCTTCGCATCATACTGAAAAAAGAAGAGACAAAACAAACTCTTTACACAGGATTTACTGCTTTTACATTTCAAATGAACAGAAATTTGAGGCTTTAGAGGCCGGGTTAGGTTTCATTTGTCGTTTCTCACCTCGGCGCTGCTCTCCCGACCAAAGAACATGTCTGAAGAGATCGCCTTTGCGTTGGCGAACTTCTGCCTGGCCTCACTCGACTCAGAGACCGGAGCTGCCACCTCCGCTTTTCTTCTGCTGGGAAGCCTGAATTTAACCATGAAGAGTGGGCGTCAGAACTGAGAGCAGCGTGTAGGTGTTTGTGAGAGTGTGTATGAAGATCCGTGCTCATACCGCTCTCCAATTGGCTGAATGCTAGAGATGGTGACCTCCTCTTTAGGGTCTTCTTTCTCCAGAGCCCAGGAGGTGGTGAAGGAGGCGGTTCCTCCCTCAGTGTCCCACCGGGACCCAAAACTGTCTCCCACTGTGAATGGGTTGTCCTTGTATCTGAAACAAGAAAACACAGTGGATTGATGGTTGATGGTTGATTTACAGTGATGGAAGCAGATACATAAGTGGATGTAATTTGAGTGCTTTACGTACTTTGGGGGTCCAGAGGTGAAACCAGGCTCATCAAACATGTCCAGTTTGGAGCGAGAGGAGGATTTGGCTCCCACAGGTGTCTCCTGCTCGATCACCTGCATCTCCGACATCACTGAGTGAGACACGGCGCTGAAACAGGAAAAACACATTTACATTTAGAGAACAAACAAACACTTCTGTGATGATCACACGTATGCTGCAACTGTAGTCCCAACTTCAAGGTGTAAATAGTAAAAATTGAATATCGACATTGATAATATCAGTTATTGGCGATATCAGAAATCTTAATATCAAATATCGGTATAGGCAGGAAATTTTAATATCGTGCATCACTAGTAAAAACTATCCCTGAACTTTAATCTCAGGATAATGACAGTGCAGTGATGTTACCTCCTGTTGCCGAAGCCCATGCCCAGCCTCTCAGCCTGCTCCCTCTTCTTGCCTTCCAGGTTCTGAAGCTTCTTTTCTTCCATTTTCCTGTCGATCTCCAGCTCTTTGTAGGCCAAACGCATGGAGGCCACACTGCAATAGCCAGAGCAAGTTACGTCATGTGGCCCAAGAAAATGAGGATTTAAATGTTACACTCATAATCACAAGTTTCTAAGACATTAAGGTGAAAACGAGAGAAGGAACATTTTCCTTACATGGATTCCTCAGCTTGTTTCTTAGCCTCGGCTGCCTGCTCCTCCCTCAGCTTCTCGGCCACTTGTGCCTGCTTCTCCACCTCTGAGAAACTCTTGCTGCTCACCTTCTGGGCACCGAGGCCTTTCTTGGCACCGAGCTGCATCAGCGTGAGACAACATGGTGCACAGAGGAGAGTCAGAGTCAAACATTAAAGATCAAAGTGCATCTTCGGCATTAAGGAAACAGCTATATTAAGTCACCCTGTAAAAGCTAAAGTCATGCTCTGCTTATTGTTACTTCTTTTATGAGGTGCAATCAAAAAGTCCTGTACTTGCAATAAGTTCAAACAGTATCTGTCAAGAATCAGGAAACCATGTGATGTCACATGATCAACATTAGAACCTCTTTCTGTGCAGTTTCCACAGTCTGGAAAAGGAGACAACTTTGTTCAACATTCATGTGGTTCTGCAGGTGAATTCGTCCTCCAGAGTTGGACTTTGAAGGCAGAGTTCTGCAGTGACGTCCTGAGGTGTCTGAGGGAGAACATTTAGCGCAAATGACTAAGTGTGGCGCAATGGCACGAGAGAGCTCCAGTGGAATTACGCACAGGTTTTTTTGGTCACAAAAATAAAACTTGTCACTCCTCATCCACCCTGCTTGCCATATTTGCCTCTCCATGACTTTTTCCTCTTGCCTAAAATCAAGTTTAAGTTCAAGGGTTGTCATTTTTGACATAATTTAGGAGATTCAGTGCACACCACTGACGGTGCTTGACATGTTTACATAGCAGCGCTTCCAGTGAGTGTTACAAGTGTTGCCTGAGCCCTGGGAGCAGAGCATCACTGCACAAGGACAATACTTCAGCACTGATGGCAGCCAAATTTAATCAGGTACTAGTTTTGACTTTATATAAGTGCAGCCTCTGAACTTTTTGATAGCATCTTGTGAATGTTTAAGATTCAGTATAGTATACTGAAAGCCAATTTTCACATTGCTCTGAAGAAAGACGATTGTTCCCTCTGAAATTAAATAATTAGTTCAGCATCTGTACATTAGAGAAATATTTTGTAACACAGTTTGAAAAAGCCAGACTTACTAATGTGTGAAGTGGAAACTTGAAGCTTACATACACTAAGAATGGATTTTACAGTGAAGGAGGACATATTTTGTCCAACAGGTGAACTTTTGAAACATTTGCAATGTTTACAGTAGAGCTGCGTGATGAATTGATTAGTTGTCAACTATTAAACTAATCCCTAATTATTCTGACAATTCATTGGTTTAGGTAATGTCGAAATTTGATGTTTGCAGCTTCTTAAATATGAATATTTTTCTGTTTCTTTCCTCCAGGACGTCATCTCTGGGGGTTTGGACACACTGATTGACATTTGTCCACCATTTTCTGACATTTTATAGAGCAAAAAATAAATAAATTAGTCTAGAAAACATTCGACAGATAAATCAACAGTTACTTTCAGCTCTAGTTTACAGATTTGGGATTTTCCAATGCGACTATTATTATTCCAAGTGGAGGATCTGTGTTATATTTACAGAGGATCTTTGAGTTTGTTTTATTCCAGCATCCCTGTGGCTTCATGGTGTTCATATGAGCATTACTGGTGGCAGGTGGTTTGTGGTTTGGTGCAATATGACTCACCCCTTTTTTGGCAGCCATGGGCTTCTTTTTCCCGATGATGGAAGGCTTCACGTCTGTAACACAAGAAGAAATCTGTTAAATCTTCAAGATATTTGTCACTATTATTCATCATGAAATCAAAGAAAAACAACAAAACAGGAAAACAATTGGTCAAAGCTGCAGAGAAACAGCATTGAGAGGGGGTTTGATTGTTATTTCTGTCAAATCATGACAGGCACAAAGCACGATGCTCAGTTAAAAGCACATAGGCCACTGCACCACAGCGCCTTGACTGCAGTTTCACAAAATAGCCACCAGCAGCTCAACTAGGCCCTTTTGCATAACAGCAAGAGGAAAATAACACTTATGTTAGTCAGCTGGTTGGCTCTCAGAAGAGCCTGCATTGTGAGAAAATTAACAAATTGAGGTAAGGGTAGGAACTGTTCACCTTTCGGAGAAACCACACTGTTGGGGACAAACTATTGTTAGAAATCTTTGATCTCATTTGTCAGTGAGCTGTTGAGAGTTACGCCGCCACAACGTCAACAAGCTGCATCTGAAATGCTGGCGGCAAAACACTCATCCAGCCTCTGATTACCTGCAGGTATGTGAGACAGCTCAACAAAGGCTGCTTTCTTAATACACAATGCAGCCCACTTAGTTAAGTATTTCTTCCTGAGAATACCAAGCTTTACCCGGTCCGAGAACACCTTGTTGAACAGCAGGTACTCACACCAGAAATAGCACACAACTATCACCGAAGTGAGCTTTTTTTCCATTACGTCATAAGCAGAGGGAGAGTGGGAGGCAGCCGAGGAGATGTCAATCAAGCAACACAACCATGCGTCTGAGCCACAACTGTGCCCACACTAGTCACCTTTAGGTGTCCACACTTCCTGGGATGACAAACGCATGGAGTCCTCTACAGGACAAGACAAACCAGTCACCACAGTCATACTCCAAAACACAGAGAAAAGTGATTTAACAGAAGAAGAACATGTCTTTTTGGAAGCCTAAATTAGACAAGCCCATTTACTGCTGCTTGGACATGTACCGTGTAAATTATAAGTTAGATCAACATAGAAGGTAAAGTATTTTAATTATCACTAAATCATTTTTGGACATTTGTTTGGCGGCTGTGGCTCAGGTGGTAGAGCGGTTGTCGTCTGATTGTAAGGTTGGTGGTTCGATCCCCGGCCCCTCCACAGTTGAAGTGTCCTTGGGGAAGACACTGAACCTGAAGTTGCTCCCAATGCCCCACCTTGCATGGCAGCTCTGTCGCCATTGGTGTATGAATGTGTGTGAATGAGAAAACATTGTAAAGTGCTTTGAGTGCCGCCAAGGTAGAAAAGCACTTTACAATCTTACCCTAACCCTATATAAGTGCAGTCCATTTACCATTTAAAGAGAAACTTTCAATGCATTAATAGCTTCATCCTTTATGTGAGGTTTGGTTTCTAAATTCACGGACACAAAATAGACAATTTTACAGCATTTTAACCATCATCCTATCAACAGCTTAAACATACAAGGACTACCAATGGACACCAGGAATAAACAACGATATGAAACAAACATCACAGCAAAATATGAACCCTTTAAATTCCAAGCAGTTTCTAGGCATTGTCATATTTTCATTCACTCTGGGCTCATTTTTACAACAACATGAAGTGGTGCACCTCTAGAGAATAAAGAGCAGAAATTAAAACAATTTAAAAGATTTATAAATAGCTTATATCACAGAAACCAGAAAAAAATGGAATCCTCATTGACAACATTTTTCAAACAGGTGTCATCAAAACTGGAAAAACATGGAATTCCAATCTCTATAAACTCACTGCTCTGCACATTAACTTTCAAAAGATATCTCATCATGCTTAATATATCTTCCAACAATTTGCCCCTCTGTTTACCTTTTCAGCCATGTTGCATTTGTTTTACTAATCCTGTATGTTTTATTTTCCTCGCAGTCTCTCTCGTCATCCCCTCTCTGCTCTGTGGAAACACTGCCTGCAGTTTACCTGAAAACCTTAGTTTCACCTGTTTTTAGAGGATCAGCGATTTTGATCAAATCTCCAAATATTTTAAGCTTAGACTTGGTTAATTCTGGAAATGAATGTCAGCCACAACTACTTTTAGGGTTGTTGAAAAGTTTTAAATCCCACAATTCTTTCCATTTTTACAGTCTCTGGCTAACTGATGGTCTTTTTTTGTTTTAAATTTATTAAATTTTTTTATAGATGACCTGTCTTTCAAGGCCATCACCAAGTTTTGGGATTCAGAGGGCTAATTTAGAAAACAATATTTAGATTCATCAAAAATGAAAATGGCCACTTAATACAATCCCACTTGCTCTAAAACTTCTCTGAGCACGTTGGAAAATAAATGTACAACAGATGTTTTAAAAAAAAAATCCTGTTCAGTCAGTTGTCACAAAGTCATGTGTGTCAACCTTAGATGGTCCTCCGAAGGTGAAAAAACAAGATGTGTGCAGGTTTTATGTATGTCTTTGTGCAGATAATTATGTCTTTGTACTTGCAAAGAATTAAAGAATGCGTGTGTGACTTCAGGATATCGCCCCACTGTGTATGACTGCAACAATGTGGAAAATGTCTCTTCGGTGGAACAACCACTGCTGTATGATACTGAGTGTGTAGTAAGTCAAACGGCATGTACAGGTGACCACATAGAGAGACAGATTGTACCTTTTCTCACAGAGGATGATCGAGAGAATACACTCACCAATGGAGGCTTTGGGGGATGTGCTCAGACCATCAATGCTGGGTCCTTCCTCTGGCTCTGCAAAGAACCAGATAAAAAACATGTGAAGCAACAAAACAGACTTTAATTCCAATTCAGTGTTACTCTTGTTAAAGCCTACTAATTTCATTGACTTTTTAAGAACGGCTTTATGTCAAACTACTTGAACAAGGATTCTCAAATTTCCGATGATGCAGCTCATCAAGTTTAGGTCCCAAAAAAGCTCCACACAAGCACAAATGACCGCATGTGGCCCTACATACAACCCTGATGAACTCATACAAAGTGGTGGAAATAATCAAAATCAGCCCTGAAGGAGGCATAACAGTCCAGCTACTGCTAAGCTTTAGTGTTTCTGTGTCCACTGTAGTAAACACAGATGCCGTTCATAGAGAAAAGTGCCTTTGGGAAAGCACAGACAATTCCACTCTGAACGGAAAGTCGAGTAAGTTCAGCTGGAGCTTCATGGAGCTGCTCAATGCAACTACTTTGAGTGGAAGTGAACAGCAATCACCTTCATGCGTGGAGCATGTTTAAGACATAATAAGACCCTCCACACTGTTTCAGACTCAGCACCACCAGTTTACAGCAATATTTCTGTTACCAGACCAAGAAAGCCCGTCCTAGGCTCCAATGCTAAGGGCCTCAGCTTCTTTCCTGAAATACATCAAGAAATCTTTCCCACAAGTCCTTCTGATGTAACTTGCTTCTGATCCGTGTACTGGTGGATGTTTTGAAAAACCATTATGTAGCAAGTAATAAGCCTCAAAGGGAGGTATGCTTAAGGGCACGGCAGGCATTATTGACATGTCTGGAAGTCCATGAGACTGTCGGACAGGCTGTTAGGACATGACAGGCCTGGGGCGTCCTTTACCTGCACATTGTTTTGATTTAACAACTGGTATTTAGACATCATTTGTTAGATGAATAGGCAACACGTTTCCCATTGTGACAGTTTTGGTGTTTGTTAGCTTGTTCCAATGAATTCTCTCACTTAAATTGTTGTAAACAGATGCAAAACTGCCTGGGGAGGGAGATTCAAAGTGTTTCAGTTGCAGTGAACTTCATATGCAGTTTTCTGTGTCAAGTACAATGTGTGCAACACATTAGGTAACATGCTGAGAAAATCGTTGACCATGACCTCCAAACATGTCAAGTGTCACTCTTCCGGCTCTGCCCTGCTTCCATATTTGGAAGGTCTTGACTCCAACCAGAAAAGATGGCGTCCCATGCTGCATATAAAAGCTGGACGTAGCCACCTATTGGTTTGGGGACAATCATTTATAAGACTTTGGAATTTGGCTGTTGCCATTTTTGCTTTTTCAAACCAGATGTAATGAGGGAGGAGTGGAACAGACAGGGAAATTGAGGGAACTACAACCAACCTTAGAACATACTTTGCTGGGCGCTGCTACAGCTCAACCGGTTGAGCTGGTGTCCCAAGTATAGGGACCATAGTCCCTGATGGTCATGGGTTCGAGTCCCACTCATGACCCTTTGCTACAGGTTCTTCCCCCATTCTTCTCCCCCCACTTTCCTGTCTCTCTTTCTGTCCTATCTAATAAAGCCAAAAAAGGCCAAAAAATATCAACAGAGTCAACGCCCCCTGCTGGCTGTTGGACAGAACGCAGGTTTGAGGCACTTCAGCTTTGGTTTCACATTTTCCAGACCTGGAGGCTACGTCCATCTCTCACAGACAGACGAGGGACCATAAAGTCATTCTCTAGGCGTCAATGGATTTGCTTACTACGTCCATCTTGATACAGAGTATAAACTGTGTTCACAGAAACAGTCTGCCTGTTTGACGGTCACTTTGCCATGAATTAGCAACCCTCAATCTCTATGGAAGCTGCACTGCAGACTTTATTGTACGTAAAACAAGCAGGTTTGCTCACGGTTGTCATCCTGGCCTTTAACCGTTGTGTCCGTCAGCTGTGGAGTGATAGCGGCTCCATTCTGCTCTGCTTCGGAGGGCGGCGCCATGCTCCAGTCATTCATAGGCTACAAACACGAAAAACAAAGCCTTAATTGTTTCAATCAAGTGAAAAAAACATTGTTTAAGCTGCATATTTTATATCACAGACTCAGTAGATTTAAACTATAATAGTTTATTTAAGGCTTATTGTTGAATCTATGAGAACTTACACAAACACTGACCAGACTGATGATATTGCAGCAGGTTCAGCAACACCACAGACATTATTTCATTTAACAGTTATATGACAAATCAGCATATATTTTCATTCTGATCTTTTACTGTTTTTTAGCTTACATCTATATAAATCTATTTACTTTCTCTTATTTCAACTTATATGTATATATTTGCATAATCTTCTGTTTTGGTTTACATTTGCTACCTGTGATGATTTAACTGACTACACACAACAGTCAGACTGGTCTGTTTACAGTAAAGCCACCGAGTCCATGTAACCTCATTTTATAGAAATCTAGACATTTTCCTCAAATGTCCATTACCATTTCAATGTTTTTTTGTTTGTTTGTTTGCGTAAATGGAATACCAAGTTTACAAACTATTTTAAAAATACTTTCATTAAAATAACTCTCAATTATTGTCAGTTTGGATCACACAAAAGCTCATCTATGCAGTAAAAACCCTCCCATTAATTCATAAAATGTTCATGGTTTGCATTACATATCATGAATTCTCAAATATACATTCAGATATGCTTCATATGACTAGATATCAGCGAGGCTCTTGTAAAATGTAAAGTTATCATAAGTAGGATTTTATGTAAGTTAGCAGCCACACAGTGCAACAACATACCTGTGTATGCTCTGCGAAAAAGTCTGCCTCTTTCTTCTCAGGAGCTGGAGTGGTGCTTCCTGCAGAAGAGTCAATCCACAGCTGCAACAAAGACAACAACAGTTTATTACACTCAAATCAGAGACACTTCCATCACTGATGCTCAAGCAGAAAGTTTACAGTTCTGACTTTTAGTTTTTGTCCTACTATCAATGACATCATTATGATATATTATCATTAGTACACACCCTGTGTACTCTGGACTGCTAACATGGCACAGACACTGATAATTCCTTTATCAATCTTACGCAACATGTCGGTGATCCTCAGGGCAACAGTGGATTTCTGTTATTTACACTGAGTGAGTAAAGTATTTTTCCCCAGATGACAGATGAGTGTGGTTCACTAAACGTCAAGAAACCACACTCAAAATGATTTAATTAGCTAATGTAGTAGTTGAAAAATCCATCTACTACTTAAGCAATTCTTAAAAACTATCACTTAAAAGCAGCAAATACTTGACTTCACTTGAACCATCTTAGATCAAATATGTTCCTGCTGAGTGATCATTCATAGTTTATTTTAGGTTTTGGTGTTTTTCTCAACAGACAGAAAGAATGAAGAAGAGAGGGGATTTGTGATTGTGCAATAAATTAGGGCTGAACAATTAACTGATTTTATTCAGACTTGTAAAACAACACCAATAGCAAATCACAAATACTGCTGCAATACATTAGATTTTGGTAATTATTATCATTACTTCATTTACAGAGTCACAGCCTTTATGGTAATTGTTCTATGTCAATTAAATAATTCTAACTGAACAATTCACATCATTAAATTTTCTTCCTTTAGTTAGAATATAAAACCGTCAATATTTTAGTGTTTTATAAAATAGTATCACAGATTAAATCTCAGTGTCTGTCAGTAAATTTCCCCTCAGTCCTTCAGCCCTGTAATAAAGCTACAGACACCTGAGCAGACACATTGTACTTTCAGGATGATGTAAGGGTTCACAAAGTCTGAGTTCATTATCTGGGTGAGACTTGTTTTTGTCTAGTTAGAGTTTGTAACATTGTGTGCTGTCAGATGAACTGAGCATTAAAAATAATGTTTTAACCCACTGAACCCTAAAACATACTTTATTTATTATTTATCAGCGAGAGACCGTAAAATACGTGTGACGTGCAGTTCTTTCATGAAAACAAGTAAATCCAAATGTAAAACTGTGATATTTTATCAAAATCAAGTTATTCTACATGTTTTATTTACCACATTTGCCAAAAATAAATTGCTTGCACTAGAGTGTATAAAAGATTAGAAATTCTGTGCTCCTCATAACAACTGAGAAGCCACGAGTGACTCAGCTGTGACCAACAGTCACGTAACAAGAATTCAGCCAGTTTTTAACTGCAGGCTGTGTTTATGCAGAGCAGCGCGGAGAGGACAAGAGAGGCTGAGAAGAAAATGAAACATACTGGATTAATAAAAGAAATGCAGCATGGCTCAGTTTGTAGGTTGTAAAAATGTAAATATTTAAATATCTTTCACATTTAGAGCCAACATTTTCTTTTGTTGTATTGGTAGCAGATGTAGGTTCTTGAAAAGATGATACAAATAATGATTTCAGGGTTTTAACTTTAATTTTCTTTTTTGGATTTGCAGCATTCTGACTCTGTCATACTGCACACAAGATATTTTTAAATTCTCGTGACTTCTAGCCATGGTTGTGCTGCTTCTAGAAAGGTGCAGGACTTCATATTGCAGTGAAAAATGAGCCCACACTGAGTACAAATGTGGTGGGAGAAAAAAAATGTCCAGAAAATGCTTGTGGTTCAGATGGTGAACCTACACGATATGATTAATTTGAAAACTGGTTCCACTTGACTCACATCTGTGCCATATTTGGACAATGCAGCATTTGCCTGCTGCCGAATCTTCTCCCTGTACATCTGGGCTGCACGACTGTTGTACTTGGCGTTGGTGTCGTTTGTGGAGCAGCCATGCTGGCGGAAGAAGGCCGTCTTCAGACAGGAAGAGAAACAGAGTTACTGAATTGCATCAGATGCCAAAAAAAAAATCCTCCAAAACAATAAGTAATTCAATTCAAATGAAACAATGACTTCCTCAGATTGGCCCCTATGGTTCTAACCTACCGCGTTGGCATTTCCTCCAACCTGCATACACCTGAGCTGAAACCAGTTCCAGTTGGAGTCTAACTCAGTGGATCTGCATGACAAAGGGGAAGCATGTGAGAATTTAACACTCTGCAATATGTTCAGATCAGAACCACTCGGCTCACTGCATACGTGCCACATTCCTCCGACAACACACCGGCTGCATTTGCTACACCTGGCAATTAACAACTGCCGCCCTTTCAGACAGATAAACTTCACACTAAAGCTGTCAGAGAACTGCATGTGATGATAGCAACTGTCACCAGTTTCGATCACTGCTGGGATGCAGTAAAGCTTACCTGATGAAGCTGAGATGCACTCCCAGTGAGCGGTGGATGCCGGAGCAGTCAATGCACAGGAACACGCCATAAGGGATACTTGCCCAGCTGGGGTTTTTGGCAGCACAGTCAAAACATACCTGAACATAAAAAAACAGCATGCACACTACATGAGTATAACATAACAAGATCTGCAAGTACCCAACATAATTACTGACTGTTGAAACAACATCATTACACATTTGATGTCATGTTTTCACGAGGCAGTGGCAGCCAAATTGTCGATTTAATATAACATTACGTTTATTAGCTCAAGCTCTGTCCTATCACTTCAACAGATCTTTTTTTTTTTTCATTTAGAAAATAGAATAAATGTCAAAAATGTTTTTCCCAACCAACAGTCCCAAACCCAAAGACATTCAGTTCACTATCACAGAAGACTACACAGAAAAGAAAAACAAGAACGAAATGTGACTGTGGAAGCTGCAACCAGAGCTCCTATGGAATTCATTTTTCTTTTACACTTATTGATTAATTCATTTGTATCATCATGCGGTGGCCTGGTTCCTCACACTGTCAATCTGGATAAAAGAAAAGCTACATAAAAAGACAGAAACCTCAACTTTGCCACAATGCCTCCTTTTGGAAGCAAAAAAAACTGTTTATACACAGAACAGAGGCTATACTACTATGACAAAGGCCTCTATATTCACCGGACATATTTTTCTGCTGGACTCTTCATCAATAATAAACTCTTCATTTATTATTCTTTTCAAACGAAGCTTCATCGTAGACCTTTTTCACAGCAGACACTTTGACTTGTCAAAGCAGGACATTAACAGTTTACAAGGCTCTAACTGACTACTTACGGTAAATCAAAGCAGCATGTATTTATACTTAAACATTATTGGCTATGCTTGTGCTTGCCAAGGCACTGTGTGTGCTGTGGGTAAAAAACAACAAAAATCTGCCTGTCTACTACAACACGTTTTCCCTGATCTTTGACCCACATGTACAGCTCTGCAGTCCCAGTTAAGGAACTACTGGAGTAAACAGTATAAATCTACATGTAAAGGATATAAATATTACAGCAAAAAGTAAATTGAATATTAAAGTAAATGGACACAACTCTCTTATTTGGGTCTACACTCCCTCTCGCTCACTACGCTTGGCCAACAAAAGGCCCCTGATAGAACCACCACAACAGGTCTCGGGGTCGATAGCTAGACCTTCTCCTCTGTGGTTCCTGGTCGTGGAACGAGCTACCAAACTCTGTTCAATCTGCTGACTCCCTCTTAGTCTTTAAGAAAAGACTGAAGACCCAGGTCTTCACTGAACAACTCTACACTTGACAGACTGACAGAAAAAAAAATCCAGGTTGTTTTCTCCTGACTAGATCCTTGTTTGTGTTGTTAGATGCACGTTACTTTGGATAAAAGCATCTGCTAAATGAAATTGTAGAAGTGTGGGCATAAAAAAACAGCCAACTACATAACAGAGAAACTACAAATGCAAGTCAAACTACTCCTGTAAAATTGCAACTCGATTGTCGCTCCAAACTGTTATACGAGTCACATTGTAAGTGCCGCCATATGAACTAGGCAAATTAACTTGAACACATCATGCTACAACTCTTCCTGCTGCTTGGTTAAAAAAGAAAAGGCGCACAAGCCTCATTTTCCATGACTAATCTATGAGAGCAG